AAAAATCAAAATCAAGTATCTTCTCAGATAACAGTAGAATAAAGCTAGAAATCAACATAAGAGGGACTTCGGAAATGATACAAATACATGGAAATTAAACAGCACGCCCCTAAATGATCGCTGGGTCAACAAAGATTTTATGTTTTTTCCTGAGACAGGGTCTTGCTGTGTCACCCAGGCTGAAGTGCAGTGGCATAATCATGGCTCACTGTAGCCTCAAACTCCTTTGGCTCAAGTGATCCTCCTGCCTCAGCCTCCTGAGCAGCTGGGACTACACGCACATACCACCATGCCCAGCTAATTTTTTGTAGAGATGGGGTTTTTCCACGTTGCCAGGCTAGTTTCAAACTCCTAGGCTCAAGCAATCCACCCACCTCAGACTCCCAAAGTGCTGGGATTCTGAGATCCCAAGCGGATCACTAGGTCAGGAGTTCGAGACCAGCCTGGCCAACAGAGTGAAACCCTGTCTCTACTAAAAATACAAAAAATAGCTGGGTGTGGTGGCGGGCACCTGTAATCCCAGCTACTTGGGAGGCTGAGGTAGGAGAATCACTTCAACCCAGGAAGCGGAGGTTGTGGTAAGGTGAGATGGCGACACTGCACTCCAGCCTGGGCAAAACAGCGAGACTCTGTCAAAACAAAACAAAACACAACAAAACAAGACAAAACAAACAGCCATATGGGAAAAGAGGAAGTCCAATTATTCCTACTGCTGATACGATCTTACATCTAGAAAACCGTAAACACTCCACTAGAAAACTCTTAGATTTGATAAATGAATTCAGTAATGTTTCAGAATATAAAATTAATATACAGAAATCTATAGCATTTCTATACATCAATAACAATCTAGCAGAAGACCAGATCAAGAAGGGAATCCCATTTATAATAGCTACAAATAAAGAAGAAAGACAACCCAGGAGTATAGTTAATCAAAGAGGTGAAAGATCTCTATAAGGAGAACTACAAAATGCTAATGAAACAAATTGTAGATGACACAGACAAAGGAAAAACAACCCGTACTCATAGACTGGAAGAATAAATATTGTTAAAATGACCATACTGTACAAAGCAATCTACAGATTCAACACAATCCTTATCAAATTATCAATATCATTATTCATAGCATCAGAAAAAAAAACCCTAAAATTCATAGGGAACCAAAAAAAAAGTCAAATAGCCAAAGCAATCCTGAGCAAAAAGAATAAGGGCATCACATTATCTGACTTAAGATTATAATACAAGGCTATAGTAACCAAAACAACATGGTACTGATATAAAAACAGACACAGGGCAGGGCATGGTGGCTCACACCTGTAAACCCAGCACTTTGGGAAGCCAAGGCAGGCAGATCACCTAGGGTCAGGAGTTCAAGATCAGCCTGGCCAACATGGTGAAACCCTGTGTCTGCTAAAAATATCTACTAAAAATATACTGGGCATGGTGGTGGCCTCTAAACAATGGATACACATGAACATATGGAGTAGAATGACACTGGTGACTATTAAAAGTGTGAGGATGGGAGGGGGGTGAGCGTTGAAAAATTACCTATTGGGTATAATGTTCACTATTTGGGTGATGATGGGTACACTAAAAGCCAAACTTCACTACACAATATACACATGTAAAAAAAAATGCACTTGTATTCCTTAAACATATAAAAAATTAAAAAGAAAAAAAAAGTGAAGGTGAAGCAAGCAGTAAGCATTCAGGAGAGGCAGCATCAGCACTCCCAGGCCACAAGGACAGCCGAGCTGTGGGTTCTGTAACCAACTGCCCTCTGCTGGTGAGTGGAAAGAACGGACCAAAGGTTCATTTCAGGTTAGAAGTGTCAAGGGATGATCAGTGATCTTTTTCAGCCTTTTAATAGAGAAAAATTCAAACTTAAAAAACAGACAGAAGAGTATAAAATAGCCCCATGCAACTTTACCTAGATTTGACAATGTATCAACTCATGGCCAATCTTGTGTCATGTACCTCTTACCCATTTCCCTCTGCCATGTTTTATTTTGAAGCAAATTCCAGACAGCGTATCATTCCATCTGGAATTATTTTAGTATGCATGTCTAAAAGAAAGGGGATTTTTTTTTTAAAGCACCATAACACCATCATTATCACAACTGAAAAATAATTAACAATAATTCTAATAATTCTTTATAGTATGGGATGCCAAAAACAAAACAAATCATTAAGCCTCACCCATGGAGGATCATGGCAAGGGAGAGGCAATCATGCAAAATTCAGATTAACAGCATGAATCACCCATCTTCAGTCCTCCCAGAGTAAACTAGCAGCAACACAGATTAAATGAATATCTTAATTGGAAATGCAAAGCCACAGACCCAAATGGTAGGAAAATCTTTAGTTCAGTAGATATGACGCAAGTGCTACTGAGTCTTTATTGAAACTGTTTAAAATTTATAAAATAACATATATATAATACGTATAACTTTTTTTTGAGATAAGGTCTCACTCTGCTCAGACTGAAATGCAGTGGTGCAATCTCAGCTCAATGCAGCCTCAACTTCCTGGGCTCAGGTGATTCTCCCATCTCAGCCTCCTGAGTCTGGGACTATGGGGGCACACCAATAGGCCCAACAGATTTTTTGTATATTTTATAGAGATGGGGTTCCACCATGTTGCCCAGGCTGGTCTCCAACTCTTGGTCTTCAAGTGATCCTCCTGTCTTGGCCTCCTAAAGTGCTGGGATTACGGGTGTGAGCCACCATGCCTGGCCTTGTTGAATCTTCCTAAGGATTCAGGAGGGCAACAATGTCCTTGAGGGCCAAATGCTCAGAGAGGCATCCAAGTAGTTAGTTGGGCTGTGAGACACTGAGAGGTGTGACCACACCTGCTCCCCAGTAATCTCAAACCCAGGGATCAGAATTAGGGTGAAAGAGCACTCCCCTTTTTGGGCCACCTCTGCTATTTCTCCCTTTCTTGCAAATTTCTGTTAGAACGTCTGTTTCTCTTTCTAGATTATAAGCCTCTAGAATACAGTATGGCATTTGATATGGTTTGGCTCTGTGTCCCCACCCAAATCTCACCCTGAATTGTGATTATCCCCACATGTTGTGGGAGGGATCTGGGGGGGAGGTAACTGAATCATGAAGGTGGGTCTTTCCCGTGCTGTTCTCATGATAGTGAATAAGTCTTGTGAGAGCTGATGGTTCTATAAAGGGGAGTTCCCCTGCACACGTGCTCTTGCCTGCTGCCATGTAAGACACAATTTTGCTCCTCATTCGCCTTCCACCATGATTCTGAGGCCTCCCTAGCCACATGCAACTGTGAATTAATTAAACCTCTTTCCTTTACAAATTACCCAAGCTCAGGAATGTCTTTATTAGCGGCATAAGAACAGACAAATACAGCATTATGGTTACTTTTGTACCCCGAGTGGCTGGCACATGAGAGATGCACAATGGATGCTTACATGAAGAAAGCCAGGACTAGAAAAGTCAATCACTTGATGAAGCCAAGTGTTGGAAAGAATGGGGAGAAAAGAGGATTGTCATACTCTGCTTGTGGGATGATGAATTGATACAGCCACTTTGGAGGACAACTAGCAATATCCAAAGAGATGTTCAAATATTTAGGCCACAAAACAAGAACAGGACACAAAAAACAGGAGCCTTCAGAGAACAGCAAGAAAAGAAAGAGTTCCTGGAAATTATAAACACTTAACAGAAGGGTTGAAAGCTACACTTGAGAAATTTGAGAAAATCTTCCAAAGCAGAGCAAAAGAACAAAGAGATAAAAAATAGAAGACAAAAGAAAGAAAACCAAAGGACTAACCTAGGAGGTCCAGTATCTGAATAAAAAGAGTTCCAGAAAGAGAACAGAGAAAACAGATGGGATGAAATTAAAGAAAGAATTTAAAACATTTTCTTATATCCTTATATTCTGACTTTCCCAACCAAAAGACCAATGAGTTCCCGGTAAAACATATAAAAACAGACTCACATCAAAGCACATCACGGAGAGAATTTTTCAGAACACAGGAAAAATAAAGACCTAACAAGCTTCCAGAAATAACATACACAAAGGATTAAGAATCAGAATGGCTTTAGATATAGACTATAATCCTAGAAGTAAAAGATAAATGCAGCAATGATCTCAAAATTCTAAAGGAAAGTGATTTCTGATCTATACCCAGACTAAACATTAATTATGGGTGAAGGCAGACAAAAGAGACTTTCAGACATACATGGTCTCTAAATGTGCCTTCCATGTTCCCTTTCTTAGGAAATTACTGGAAAATGTGCTTCACCGAAATGGGAGTGTGCACCAAGCAAGGGAAAGACATGAAATACAGGAAATGGGGGATCCCCTAGAGGGGACAGTGGAGACACTCTCCATGGGAGAACATTGTGCAGGGAAGGAAAGGTGTACTATGTGGCTCACCACACCATTAAACTGAAAACTAATCAGCCAAAACCACAAGACTACTGTATTAGGCGGACAGAGGGACAGGAGGGTGAGAACACTGAGGAGGGTGGGTGCCAGAGTTGAATTCTAACCTCCCATAGAGAGAAGTCAATAGATGACACCTAAAGTTCAAACGTAGAAAATACCTAAAGTTGAAACATAGAGAAATGGCAGTAAAAACAAAAATAACCCACTAAGAGAGATGGAAGCAGTTGTCTCCGAGAAGGGCAAGAGCAGAGGGAGCACAGGTGCTGTTTTTGCAATGCTATGCATCTGTAACTTTGATAAATATAACAATATGAGGAAGAAACCCTGCACACAGTAAGTTTCTCAGAAAATTCAGAAGGGTAGTAAAGCTTCCAACAGCACTGCCAATGGTCTGACATTGTCAGACCCCGAGATTCTGCTGCTGTTATGCCTGTTTGTACCTTACTGCAATATCCCAGTTTTTTGGCCATCAAAGCTCAGCATTTCACAAGTGCTTAAAATATACAAAGCTTTACACTGTAACCAAGAGTGTGGAAGCCACTCAATCAGCAAGTAAGTTATACATGGATTTCTAAAGCTCTTACCAGCAGTAAAAATGCCTTTGGTGCTCTGTCTTATACTAGAAGGTCTCACGATTGCCGATAGCCCTGTGAGAAAAAGCCAAAAAGGAGACCAAAAAAAGCCAAAACAGATGTTAGTCATCGTTAACAGTTTTAAAACTTGAAACTAAATATTCTTTTTCTAGTCAGCCAATAAAACCACCAAATCTATCTCGGTCCTGCTGTCACAGTGACAGTGAAAAGGGCACTGGGACTGAGGGCCAGGAGACTGGAACAGCCAGCCGTGGCGCCACCCGGCTGTGTGAGTCCAGGCTGATGACTGAACAGCTCTGGGCCTCCTCCCCCTTTTTTTTTTTTTTTTTTTTTTTTGAGATGGAGTTTCGCTCTTGCTACCCAGGCTGGAGTGCAATGGCGCGATCTCGGCTCACCGCAACCTCCGCCTCCTGGGTTCAGGCAATTCTCCTGCNTGCAATGGCGCGATCTCGGCTCACCGCAACCTCCGCCTCCTGGGTTCAGGCAATTCTCCTGCCTCAGCCTCCTGAGTAGCTGGGATTACAGGCACGAGCCACCATGCCCAGCTAATTTTTTGTAGCTTTAGTAGAGACGGGGTTTCACCATGTTGACCACGATGGTCTTGATCTCTTGACCTCGTGATCCACCCGCCTCGGCCTCCCAAAGTGCTGGGATTACAGGCGTGAGCCACCACGCCCGGCTACCCACCGCCCTTTAAAACCAGGCGGTGGGTTAGCTGACCCTCAAAGGGCATTTTATGACTTAAATCTGCTTGAGATTTCTGGTTCTCAATTCCATAACGTAAAAAGATAAAAACCAAATGATTATACCTACGAGAAAAATTTTCATTCTGAAAACATATATACGGATTCCACAGTGAGGAGCAAGTTTCACTCCCCTCAAAGAGACAGCCCAGATCACACTGTTGCCAGGATCATGTTCAAACAAATAACAGTGTGTCTAATACAGAGCTACCTTCAGGATGGGGAGCCCGTGACCTAAACACACGGTCTGCAAACCTTGTGCAGGCCCAGGAGGAGAGTGGGGGTGGAGCGCTTGCTGCGGCTGATGTTCCACTGCAGTGTGATGGTCTTTGCAAAGCATTACTGGAAATTGTATCTGGCACCCAGAAAAGCTCAGTAAATCTTTACTGAATGAAAACAGGAGGATGCACTCAGTTGAGAGAGGGACTCATTCTCAATTTCAGAAATATTTCTTGATTGACTAATCTTATAAATTACCTTTAGCACCTTAAAAGGAAGTTAGTCTTTGAAGATAAGGTTCAGGTTTTTTTGTTTTTTTGGTTTTTTTTTTCAGAGATAAGGGCTGCTTTATCACCCAGTGGTATGATCTTAGCTCACTGCAGCCTCCAACTACTCAATCGATCCTCCCACCTTAGACTCCCAAGTTAGCTGAGATTATAGGCACATGCCACCATGCCCAGCTAATTTTTCAATTTTAGCAGAGACAGGGTCTTGCTCTGTTGCCCAAGCTGGTCTTAAAACTTCTGGCCTCAAGTGATTCTCCGTCCTGGGCCTCCTAAAGTGTTGTAGAAACCCACCTGGCCTGGGTTCAGAGTTCTGGATAAACATTAGGGCAGTGCTGGGGAGAATGCTGTGGAACGTGCGCCATGTCTAAGTGAATGCACTGAACACTGTATGAGACACTTCAAATGTAGTTGGTTGAGGAAAGCTGTGTTCTCAATGTTAAAAAAACACAAAAAATGCCACCAATCTGTTTTCTCAGGCCACCACAAAGAACACAGACACATCTTTTAATAAATTGCAGAAGTGGTGCTCTAGAAACCAAAAGAAACATTGTTTCTCCCTTTGACAGTGATTTAGGATCCAGATAAGATTAGAAGTATTTTTACCATCTTACTTCAAACAAGTAAAAATTCAGATTTAGAAAATCCTCAAATTTTTAGTGTTTTCTTCTTCTGAGAGGCAATCTCTCTATCTTGCTAAACAAGAAGGAAGAAATAATACATCCCAATCACAAACAAAGTCTGCTTTCCCCTACAGCTGGCACTTCCTCAACATCAAATTCATAAACGTACCTAGTCGCACCACATCTCCACAGTCAGGATCATGAGCCACTTGGAATAAAGTTTCTTCCACATCTCTGTTTTTTCCAGGAGGGTCCATAATATGATTTATCTGTTGCTGTAAGCTTTTGGGCAATGTCATCAGCTGAGTGAACTGTCCTTCTGGGCTTTTATCTATCTGAGGAGATAAAAAAAGAAGATGTCTATGAAAATGCTTTCAATTCTATAAATACTCAAAGACACAGGGCTTCCCTTTAAAATTCACACAAACATATATGCACCACACACCCCTGGTGAGGCAAGCAAGCTAAGGAGACTCTCTTTTCTGAAACTGAATGTGTAAGTGTTCAGAAGTCTAAGTCCCTTCAAAAAGGATAATTCTTGTTTTATAATATTTCATTTCTACCCGAGAAAAGAATAGAAGCCACTCTCAAGGATCAATTTCTGACTTTTGGTTTTAAAATTTGTATTTGTCTTAAATCCAGCAGTCAAAGGAAGTGGTGCTTCAGTTGACACTCATGGAGGTTGCGTCAAATCCAGGCGCTAAGGTGACCCCTCCCATTTCAAACACAAGGAGACTGGCATGCCCTGATTATACCGTCAGTGAGACTAAGTGGGATCTGAATTGTGTCTCCTGCCCAAAGGGCCTTTACTATGCTGTACTTCACAAACTGTACGAATACACTGATGACAGAAACTAATCTTACTCACTTTTAATCCCTGACACACAGTAGGTACTCAAAAAACAGTAAGGAAATAAATAACTGAATCAGTACAACTTAGTTGTCCTAAAGCTACTATGCCAGTGGCTTCTGTTCCCAAAGTATTCTAAAACATACCAAGATGCTGAAGATAAATGTATAAATAAAACATATAAAACTATGTGTCAGACTTTACTTAGAAACCCATGAATCAAAAGTTAGCCACAGAGCTGAGGCCAGACCAAGCTTTCCTAACTCCCAGTTTCATACACTGTGCCTCACGGAATGAATTTTTTAAAATCTTGTAAACATTGATTTCCTGCCAAGTGCAGAACCAGTAACACTGCTCTCAACAGTTCATCACATTATTTCCCAAGGAAGAATCTGTCCTGTATCCTTTTAACAAATATTTAGGTTTTAACTTCAACTAAAAGAACAGTAAGAAGAAATCAGATGAAGGTATTACATTTTAGGCTTACAGTTTATAGATATGACCAACCTTTTTTTTTTTTTTGAGACGGAGTCTTGCTCTGTCACCAGGCTAGAGTGCAGTGGCGCAATCTCAGCTCACTGCAACCTCCGCCTCCTGGGTTCAAGCGATTCTTCCGCCTCAGCCTCCCAAGTAGCTGGGACCACAGGCGCCCACCACCACACCCGGCTAATTGTTTTGTATTTTTAGTAGAGACGGGGTTTCACCGTGTTGGCGAGGATGGTCTCGATCTCTTGACCTCCTGATCCACCCGTCTCGGCCTCCCAAAGTGCTGGGATTACCAGCGTTAGCCACTGCGCCCGGCAGATATGACCAACTTTCTTAATAATTAGAACCTACTCATTCTACCATTTTTAAATTGAATAAATATTTATTAAGTATATACTAAATGAGACAGTCAAATAGGTTTACGCCTGTAATCCCAACAGTTTGGGAGGCCGAGTCAGGCGGATTGCTTGAACCCAGGAACTCAAGATCAGCCCTAACAAAACAGTGAGATATCCAGCTCTACGAAAAATTAAAAAAAAAAAAAAGCTAAACATGGTGGTGCATGCCTATAGTTCTGCCTACTTGGGAGGCTGAGGTGGTGAGGTGGGAGGATCATTTGAGCCTGGGAAGCTGAGGTTACGATCAGCTGTGATTGTGCCACTGCACAACAGCCTGGACAACAAGAGTGAGACTTTCAAAAAAATATATATATATATATATACCAAATGCCTGAATTTTCTAGTTTTGCCTATAAAATCTATGCAGAGATAAGAAAATGTTATTATTGGCCAGGCGCGGTGGCTCACGCCTGTAATCCCAGCACTTTGGGAGGCCAAGGCGGGTGGATCACGAGGTCAAGAGATCGAGACCATCCTGGTCAACATGGTGAAACCCCGTCTC